GACTGATGTTCCGTATAATTTATTGCTTTCACTAGAGTAAATCTAAGGTCCTCTAAAGCGTCGTAGGGGAGAGATATTAACGTTAATGGCGCGTTTTGAAACGAGTGTTGCGTCGACCACCGAATGGAGATCGGCTCCCGCGCAGTCGTCCGTCCATGAAACACCCCAGAAACATCGTAACAAGCCAATCCAATCTCGATCGATTCTTCTTGCGTCGCGATCGAAGTCGTACAAGTTTCGAGGACAGCTGTTCACCATTGCTCTCCGATCGTTGGCATAGAATCCCTGAAAGAAGAACGGACGATAGAATTTTCGGCTGGACGAATGACGGTTAACCGGTTAACTGTGCTCGACGAACGCACTCGTCGCTTCAAAACCCAAAATAATACTAATTCGCTTTACACGATATCTTCACAGTGAATTTCCACGGTTAACCGGTCGATTGATCCTTCTGTTTGTACTTGAACCGATTCCCTCCAGCGCAGGATCGCTCGACAGATGCTGAAAAAATAGTTGACCCATCTCGTCACTTGGGTCCCAAACTGCAAGACGCCGCAAGTTCCGAGCCGAGTCCCAATGATCGACAAACTGTGGTTTTGTTTTTTTGGTTTTTCTTGATGGATGAAGTCTGACTTAATCGGCGAACGATTATCCGCGCCTGATCATCACCAAGTGGTGCACTTGTTCGGGGGGTTCATCTTGGTTCCGATCGGGCAGCGGAACGCGTCCGCGAACGCTTGGGAGTTCATCATTATGCCGTTGACTCTGAGAACATAACAAACACGACACCCGTAGAGAAATCACGGATTTATATAAACAAAACTATGGATCCCACAACTGAGGATCGTGCTACCGCTCGTTAGCTCCAAGTATTTACCTTTCAGGCTGAGGTGTGTGGTAATCGAGTTCAACGGATAGAATATAGGCCTCGGCAGTCATATTAGAACAATAAGTCTGAAAGAATTTCGTTCGATTGAATACTCAGGCTACGCGCGAGCCGTCTTAGTCGTCGATCGGTTCACCTGGGCGGCGCTTATGAAGAAAAGCTGGCTCGGCCGAAGTCCCTCGAATCCGGGAAGACTTCGATCCTTCCCGTTCGTCAAAGTGTGCCAAGTTTTATAAGAAATCTGCAAGGCTCCGATGTCCGCCACGTTCTCGTTTCTCGTCACGTTCCAGTCGAACTGGAAGTTAATTCCCCGTTCAGCCGACCGGTCGAATTAATCGGTTTCAAACGGTTTCCCCTTACTTGTACCGCGACGTCGTTCCCGTAAAACTGAACCTTCTTCCAGAAGCTCCTGGCGTAGAGCCTCGCGACGCACTCGATCCTCGCCTCCAGCCTCTTCCAGGACTCCGGAGTGATCCAGAGCCACTGATCGACGTTCAGATCGGGATCTAGCGGCAGCCGACGCCTGTGGAGATCGAACGCGTGGAGAATCTCGTGACCGATCACCGAGCCCAGGGTCGCGTGGGATGCGTACGCTGGCCCTCCGTCCCAAGACCATGACCAGGCCGTCATCATCGCCAATGGGATACCTGGTATCAATCAAAACACGTACACTCTGCCCACGAAATAATCTAGATCCTAGAAGAGAACAATTTTACCAATCGTATTCGTCGAAGATTCGTAGTAAGCGTTCACGCTGTAAGGGTAACGGCGTCTGGAACAGAAAACTCAACGTTACAGATCATCCAGACGACGCTGGAATCTTTCTAAACCGATCTCTTACTTCTCGGTCACGTTCCTCCTCAGCACTTTGTCGTCCACCGTGCGGATTTGTCGGAAACGCATCAACGTGCTGTGGAAAAAATCGCCAGGATCGATCTTCACCTGCGGGGACCGATAAATAGTCGCTGAAGCTTTCTGTATCGATTTTATTACGAAACGCGCGAATTCCGTAAATATTTAGAACAACGAGATCCGTCGGATTCTCGAAGACTCGTCGGGAAACGAGGGAAACGGGGAAAGCAGCGTGATCGATAAATGTCATATCCGATTACTTAAGATAATTAGATTGAACTCTTTATTTGCGTCGTTAGTGCGCAGAAATCTCTTCGCGCATAATTAACGTATCGTTCTCGCTGGAAATCTCGGGCGAATCCGAGATTCCCTTCGCGGATCCCGAAACTGTGACGTTTCCAAGAATAAAGTATGCAAGCGGAAAATAATTACGCGGCGCGAATGCTAAAGCGCAGCGGGAAAACTGATGAATCCCGAGATTTCGGGGTTCGGCTCTTGTTCGCCTCGTTTCCCCGTTTCCGAGGATCCGAAACGGAATCGCGGGCGAGACCTCACCTCGGTCATTTCGCGGGCCAGCAGGCTCTCGTTGTAGAAACCAGGCCACACGTGAAATCTACCCTTTAACGAGTTCAGTTTTAGCAGCGCCTGGGTCCTGGTCTCCTCGTCCAGCCAGGACTTCACTAAGATCCGCTCGGCCACTGTTTCCTTCACACGCTCGAACAGCCCTCCCACCTGTTCGCCGACCGATTCGATTCGATTAAAACCGATCGAACCGGCGTAACGCTGATATTCGAGTCAGCAATAACTAGGCTGCGGATTCTGATGCACCCATGCGAAACGGGAACAAGGGGGTACGCGGTAAAACATAAAATACGATTGAATCGAACGGATCCTAAACGATGGAAATCGATGTTTACTTAAACGGAAACATTAAAGGGACGACGCTCGATCGCCCGGATAATTTCTTTTACACCTGGAACATCGACGAAGAATGATTTACGATAATGCGATCCGATATTATTCCCTCTTCGTCGTGCAATCGTGAGAAACATAGAAACCCGAGATACGCCTCCGTTTAATTCCAGATTTCGTAAGTTGCAGTAACCTTTAATTTGCATAAAGAACCGCAGTCTAGCAATAAAGCACGCGCGCTCCTCGTTGTAACTCACCCTGTTGGTCAACGTGTCCAAATGCTGAGGGCTGTATTGTTGAACGTAAAGCGCGCCCACGATCTCACTGAACACATCCTTGGTCAGCTTGAAGCAGGACAATTCCCAATTCTTGCTCGCGGTCACGTTCACGATATCGTGCAGGGTGTCCGTCGCGTACAGCAGCAACAGCCCGTTGTGAATGATCCTTGGGGCAACGGATGCGAATTAGACGGGAGCTTACCAAGCAAACTTTCGAGATTCCCGTGAAGTAACCGCGGTTCGTGGGACGAGCGAGGCCGAGTTCCGGCGGGAGCTAACTCGGGTATTGGTCCGGCATTATCTCCATTAGATGTCCGTACAGTAATAAAGGCGATATTTCATCGAAGGGATAATAGCCACGGGGCCATAATAATGAACAGCTGCCCCCGAAAGCATAACGAATTAGCGTTATCGATTCTTCCCCGCGACGCTCCCCGCGGCGAGAAGTGCGAGCTCTTTCACGGGGGACCAGGAAATTTATAATTCTCTTTACTCAACGATCAGCGCAAACCGAGAAATCTATAGAGAGAACGAATCACGCGGAAATTTCTATCGTTTTTCCGACGTACCTAAAAGAATCGCATCCTTTGCAAGCGATCGACGACCGTATTCGCGTATAACGTACGTCAGGACTTCGTACATCGCACAAAATTAATTAAATTATTATATAAAACAACGCATACGATTGTCCAACAATTGCGTAGATCAATATAGAAAGTAATACACGTGTTCCCGACGCGTTATGCGTGATTATTCCCGTAACATTCTGCTATAGCTCTCGCTCAGGTTCACGCAGCACGTGACAGCTCTCGTCGCTCGTGGATTAATAAAAATGATTGCCGATACGCGTCACGGGGAGAGCATAATGCACTGGAATACGGGAAACTCAGCCGGCGTGGTTAACACGGCCGAGCCGTCGCTCCGTTAGGGTGAAATTTCGCGACGAAGGGTAATGGACGAATTAGGCGGCGATTTACGATGCGTGCCGTGTACCGGCATTAAAATTTATGGCCGTGCTACGTTTATTAACCGCGACCCGTCGCGATACACGGCTGCGTACGCTCGCTGAGCTACCACGCTCGTAAATGTTAGAGAAGATGGCGGGTTTCTAGCGCTAACGATCTCTGTGACATGTAAAGCACAGTTTAATTTCCATCGGTCGCGCGGACCGCGCCGCGTGCGCGCGTGAAACCGAGCCGAGCCTAGTACCGCCGCGCGATTACAAGCGGTGGTGTTCGCCGCTGATTTAAATATCAAGCGTTAATCCGCGAGCCGCTTGCACGCGCTCGCCGGCTGGCATTTGCTCGAGCACTCCTCGCGGCGGCTTGTAACGCTGCGGTTGCACCGAACGAATGCTCGTTTATCCGCGAAACGAGGCTCGAAGTCTGGATATCTGCGTAATACATTGAAGTGATAGGAAATCTATCGCAACGGTTCGCTAAAATTGCAGCTAGCTGCGTCGGGCAGTCAAAGATTCACCGATAACTCGTCGCTATCGGTGCATTCCGTTGGACGCGGCTCGAACCCGAAAGGCTTGAAGCAATTATGACCGCGGAAAGAGTTCATTCATCGTCTCCCCCGCGGTTCGATTTTCTCTCGTTACGTCGGCTCTGTCGAGGGATTATCGACGTGAACGAGGACATTGTACCGTGTCGCGTGCAGATTAGCCGGAACGGCCCTCCTTGTACCGGGGAACGGAACAACGAGTCCGAGCATTAAGGACGACGCATGGTCGGGCACAGATTGCCGGTGCCACGGGGATACGAACGTCTCGTTCTCGTTACACGGAATACCTTCGCCCGGTAATTATCGCGGTTGCTGGCTGCATTCATCCTCGGCCTGCGTCCCCCCGCGTCCCCCAGCCCTTCCGACGGTTTCGACTGTCTGTCTACGGATGATAATGGAAGGCAACGCTGGAATCGCGTCGCCCGGCCAAGAGTGGCGTCCCGGAATCCCGGATGTTTGCTTGTCTATCGGCCTATTCTGTCAATATTAAGGCTAACCGTACACCCAATCAATAATTCCTGGTTATCGTGGCGTGACTATTGTTGCGTTCCCGAAGGTGGGGGTGGTACCGGCGATCCATAAATACCGTTTCGCCTCTTGCCGCCGCGGGAGCTAAACACTGCCCTCTGACAAATTGCGCGTGGACTCGTGAGCACTGCCACTTCGTTGTCACGCAACTTGGATTTCTCGGCTCGCAGTCGGTTGCACCTCGAACGGCGAATGAATTTTCAGTTCGACTTCGCTGCGCGAGGAATGAATTGTTTCGGCACGAGCGACGCAACCACAGGCACGCCGCGTCTGATCTTTCTGATGCCCGCAAGTTTCTTTCGCGACTCGAAAGTTCTCGCTTTGTTCCCTCGAAGGCTAGACCCGCTGTAACTCGAAGGGTCCGATCATGGAATTGGTTCCCAAGTCGCACCCTTCGGTTTAATTAAATTCGAAGCCTCGAACGCCCACTTGCAGCGGCAAACGATGTTGCCGCAGTTATGGACAGCTTCGGACTTGGCTGGAAACTTTTTCTGCGATTACCACTTGAGCGAGGTGGTTTCCGATGGCGAAATTTCGAAATTTCTTTTCGCTGAAACGTTCAGTCTGGTTCAACGAATATATTGGAACAAGCGAGGCTGCTAAAGTCTTGCCTCGATTAAACTGTTTCAAGGGATTTTAAAGGCATACCTCATCGGTTAAGGGATAATCCCCAGGATTAGCTGAGTCGTTTAATTTCTCTTCAGCATGTAGATTCTCAGTTCCAATATAATTTCTCTCGGCTCTTTCGCTTCTTTCTATATTTCCTAATAATCTAATCCTTTTATTCCATATCTTCGTTAGGCGATAACAGGGAGTCGAATCGTTATTAAAAACGCGATATCAGAGGAACGGAACACTGTCTTCGAATTAAGCGGTACAATTTTCTTTTTATTCGAAACAACCCCAGTTGAATTTCTTCGCTGCTGATATCACGGTACAAGTTCCCTCTCATCGATCCAGGTTGCTCCGTTAATGTCGGCCGCATGAACGATATCGCGGTCGCGTGAATTTCAGCGTGGCGTCGAATACATCGATAGTATAATACAACCGACTCCAGACAAATCGGTCGATAGGACTCGCAGCCCAACAGAATCCTACGACCAAACGCGGATGTTCACGCGCGGGTAAGTGTGCATTATGTAAATCCGGTGTCGTCGTCGTTGTCGCGGTGAAGTCGGCCGTTGTATACGCTCGAAACACGCGATCCGTCTCGCGGCATTCAGCCGAGCGTGCCCGGGGAAGTTCGTTTAATGTAATCAGTACCGTTTCGGTAATCGGCGCGCGCGCCAAGTTAGTTCGGGCGCGACTCGGAGTTTGCCTCGAATCGTGTTCGAACCGCGACCAATGAAAAATTACAACGTACATATGTACACTCGACCGTACCTCGGCATTAACCCTTGCAAAACGAATATCGGTGACATCGGATTTCGCGTGCAAAGCTATAAATTGCAAGCAAATTGTTCAATTATCCCAAAAACAACAGATGTGCACTTGAAGCTGTTTCAGGAATAGCGTTTAACATTAGAACCTTAAGATTCTTCTAATTCAACGATTACGTCTTCCTTTAGTAGTATACTATATAAATGTGATTATTTTAGATCGGTTGAATTCAGTTCAAGTGTTTTCATGGTTTCAATATACATTCCCAGGAACGCGCGGTGACGCGACATTCTGTCGTAGCCGAATGGTTAAGCGTAATAATTGAAACTCGGAGAACGCTTCGCGTCTCGCCGGGCAGCGAAAGAGGGTCGAAAGTTCCAGCGGCGTCGAACGAGTCGGATAAACCGCTTGGTCGCCTTTTATGACTTCATTCGGCTAGGATGCGGCAAGCGCGCCCGTCTTCATCGGAAAATTATTCGTACCGTTGCGCAGCGAATAATGTTTATCGTAAAACAAGAATCGAATGGCGCACTAAACGTCCTCGCCGTGAATTTTACGTCCTTGTGTACACGTTAACGGACGAAAAAGAGAAAATCCCCATCGACTCGTCCGGCTCGCGTGCAACTTTCCTCCTCGGTATTTTTCGGCCGAACGAAATGCGAGAAAAATCAACAATTCGGACGAATTCCACGGCGACAGTCCGGCGAACTTCAGTTTCCGCTGGACGTTCGCAAAAATTGTCGCTGCCTCGAAAACTATTCCTGCTATTCCGTTTCGGCGCCGATGAAAAGTTCCCGGCTCTTGTTGCCACCGTGGAAAGTTTACTCGAACGAGTTCTCCTCTCCGCGTAGAAGATTGCGCAGTGAATAATTGCTTTCTCTTCCCGGGGACCGTTCAGATAAGTAAACGACACTCGTTTCTCCGTCGCGTACCGATAAAACTGCCACCTGGCACGCTCTCCTGGCGCGAGCTCGCGCATTCTCGCGCTGAACGAACGACGATCGGCGATCGAGCTCCTTTAGGGAGCTATTTCGATACACGATAATTACAACGAAAATTGAAACCGGCGTTTCCGACGGCTAAGTCGAGAAACACGAGGAAATTACAGGACCAGGGTAAACTCGCGACCATTATCCGGCCAGTCGTTTAAACAGATAACATCGCGTTGCGCGTCCGTGAACAAACGACCAGGCCGATCGTTAGCAGAAACGAATTTTAATTCGACAAACGAGAAATTACGATAACCGGGGCTGTACGCCGAACGAACCGAGCAGAGCTCGAATTAATCGTATTTTGAACAGCGGGGCAGGTTCCGAGGCGTGATCGTTGCTCCCCGATTATCGGGCAAACAAATATCCAACGGGGCAACAACGGCGCTGCCCAATTTCCGCGCGATCCGATAAACCAAACGTTTGAAAGGAGAAAATTCCTCGATGCGCTCGGCCGCCGCCATTTTTACGCGGGACTCCTTGCGATTGGCCGCAAGTCGAGCGAATCGTGCACCGTTCGTTCCTTAACGATCGCGCCGGATTCGATTCGTATATATCACATTTGTCAAATAAATAGGAAGCTTTTGTCGCGGGAAATTTAGTGGTATTGATTGTATTCCGACAATTAAATAGGAATTCAAATTTTACTGCCTCCATGTTGCCGATCGTTAATCTCTAAATTGTAGGTAAATATAGAATGAGCGCCGGATATTTTTTCTTTTTAATGAATAGTTAACGGGAAAGTTTTATCGGGCTAGGCCGCGAAAAAAGTGTCGGGTCAAGAGGTTAATCGGGACGTCCGAACGAAATTGGACGCGGTAATCGGAACGAAGCGCGGAAAGTTTGTTCGCGGATCGCGGGACATCGCGTACTCACGGCTCGTTTGCCGCAAAGGATCCGATAACAATAACTCTAGCGCCGGTTAACGAAGACGAATGGCGACCGGGCCGCAATTAAATTCGTCCGGTCAGGCGACTGCGTTTCGTTTCATTAATATTCATTCATTAGCCGATTCGCGCTGGCCGACAGCGAATATTTATTCCCCGCGAGCGACGATCCTCCGACTTCGCAAACAACCGCGTTATCGGTGGCCGTTCTAACGAAGATGCAAACGGAATTAACGATCGCCTCTCCGTGCCAGCTCCGCAAATCAACCGCGGCGCGCTCTTCTTTTTCGTTCCCTTCTCTCCCTTTTCTTTGTCCGTTAAAATGAAATCCAGCGGAATCGATTTAACCTTTTTACCCGGCGATTTTTGCGCGTCGATCGCGGATATCGGAGCGGTTAAAAATAAATGTGCGCGATTCCGGAACTCTCTAACTCGAGACGAACGAAGGAGCAGTGCAATTTTCTTTTCCTTTAACCGTAATTTGAATATATGACCGTTCCGTTTCTCGGGTCAAGCGTTAAAGTAGTTTAAAGTGGCTCCGTCGCTGGCTAGAATACGTATGGGCGGTTAATAAGAAAAGTCTAAAAGTAATGATAATGTAGATCGTCGGATGCTCGAGATTATTATAGCGATACCGCGGTGTACGAAAGCAGTCCTAACTTCGCGCGCCCACAAAAGAAGGAATTTAAATTGCGGGCCGCGGGCGGAAACGTTACGACGCGTATTTCAAATTCCGAAGTACCCCAATCTTTATTCTTTCGGCCAATAAAACGCCGATTCGCTACCAAAACGGAGCGTTCGGGCCAGTTTACAGGGCACGTTGAAACAAACGAATGCCACTAAAATTTTATTCCTAATAAATACGTGGTTTTATCATGCGTTTAAAAAACTCCTTCGCCGCTTTAAGGAAGTCCACGTCGGAACGACGGAATCAGCGATTTCGGGGCTATCGTTTCCACCGAGGAAGATATCACCGTTTCGTACTGTTAAAAAAATCTCGCGAGAGACCGCACCGTCTCGAACGAATACGCCGAGCATCGACGAACGGAACATGACTCTGCTCGGAATCGGATCGCGGCAGGACAAAGCCGAACGGAAACAGAGTATCGCTGTAACGTTCTCGTGTACGTATCGCGTGCGAGTTTCACGCATCGATTTCCCGCGGCGCAACGGTGAATCACTTAGCCGCGTGATCGAGGGAAACGCGATAAAGCGACGAGTTATGAAGCAACGCGGCCATGAATCTGTCCTGTTAAAAAGAGACAGAAGAAAAAATAGTGGTATTCCCCGGACGATATTAGGGGCGGTTCCTGTGCGAGGCAACGGCGGCGGTCGTAAAAATCGTCGATGTAACGACAGTTACTGGCCGTCGTTATTTTTAATATTACGCGGGTCATTCGGTTGGTAAACGAGTCGCGTCAACGACAGTAATGGCCAGGTCCAGTTTTCGCGCCGTGAACACCGATCGCTGGGACTATGGTCTGTTAGCCCGGCAACTGTTCGATGATTCGGTAGCTGGCTTGTTTACTGGGTCGCGTGTCGCGATAGATCTCGGCCGAAATTCGCCGTTCATTTAACATCGAACCTACCAGACGCGTCAAAGTGACACAGTCCTGATTTCTTCTTCCAGCAATTATTCGGAAGACAAGAGACATTTCTCTGAGAAATCATTCAAGATTTAGGAATACGCGAACTGAATTCTGAATCAATTGAAATCGATTAAAGATAGGTGTAGTTTCCAAGTTTCTACAGAGGAATCTCGAAAAGTCAATTTAACCGTTCGGTAGGTTTAGTGTTATCAGATTTCATTTTCATTTTTCGTCTATTTTTTTATCTCTACGGTAACGCCTAATTATTTATCTCTATTTGGCCCGTGCCGAGGAACGACGACTTCAAACTAGACGCATACCTCTCGTGGCCAAGCCGTGATTTCCCATCGCCAGGACCGTTAACGAGTGGATTCACTGATCAGCACCGCGGAAACGCGACCGCGGTTCTCCACGCGCAAATTAAAGAGCTCGGAAAGAGGGATCCGAGGCTCGCGCGGCATTCGCGGTTCATTTAACTGGAGCGCGGAGCGCGAGCGATTCGCCGGTGAAGCAGCGAGGCTCGTCGGGCATCAAATTTCCCGGAAATCTTTCTACCCCCGCGCTCCATCGAGTAGAAGCCCCGAATGCCGCGGGAACCGGGCCACCTCGGCCGGGCGTGCTTTCACGCGCGGGCAAATCGATTCCGAGGCGAGTCTCGGTATCGTTCGACCATATTACAAGCTTTTTGCGTAGTCGCGCGTTAACGTCTTGGTTCCGGCAGCCCGTTGAACCGCGAATCGTACGTAACGTCGGTTACTTCGTTCTATCGCGCAAAATGTCGGCGTAACTTGAAACGCTAAAGCCGAAACAGGGTTTCTTTGCAACCTCGCTTCGTTCTTTCAACAAATGATCCTCGCGTTTCGTTCAATCGCGATATTTGCGGGACGATACGCGTCGCGTTGCGTTCGAAAGGATTCAGTTTGCCAGTGCGCGGACGCGAGCCGTAGCTGGGCTGCGTTCTACAGTGCCGCGAGCGGTTTTAATTGGTAACGAAGTTGTTGATTACGAGACGCTGTTGATTAAAGCCTGTGCAGCGGTTCCGTGACATATTAGCGTTCGTCAACGTAGAATGTTGATCGCGTTAGTTTCGTATTTCTTCGGTTAACCTTCATCCGGCGTGTAAAGGGATCATTCGATTAACAGGCGACTGTTGAAAATGGAATTTGAACGTGCGACCGCGGTAAAGTCGCCTTTAGGATGCATCGAGCGTTTCATGTTGGAAGATTGTACTCTACGATGGAATCCTAAGGAGCAAAGGTGTTCAGTTAGGATTCAGCGGACCTGATAATGTTCGATTAACACTCGACACGGTCGGACGCCTTAATATTCCGCGGATCGGGCTTAATGTCGCGGAAGAACGAAGAAGAATCGAATTCACGCGAGATACGCGGTGAATGGGTGCGGCTCTCGCTTTTTCACGCCTCTCTCTGTCTCTCCCTCTAGACCGCAATAAATTATTTCCTAGCTTGACAGGGAAGGGGGCAGACTTAAATTCGTTCTTATCGAAAACCGCGAAGATGGAAGACCCCGGGAAATTTATGCCGCATCGTTTCGCAGCAATCCGGTAACAAGGGGTCGAAACCGCGGGGAGGAAGCACGGGTTCCGCTTCGACCTTTGCGGATATTTTACTCGTCCGCGTCCCGCAATATCGCGCCGGAAAGTTACAGTATAGTCGAACCCCTCTTTAACCGACAGTTCTTCAACGGTTACATAATTTACGAACTTCGAATACCGTTTGAAAATAAATAGCAGGACGGTTATCGCGTTTAGCGTCGGTGGCGATCGATTCCTCGCGGGCTGTTCTAAACAAGCTGAAAAGACAAGCTACCATTCTCGAATCGAAAGCTTTATTTACGGCTAGCTTATTATTTGCTGTGTCGAGAAGGAGGTTAATCACTTCAGGAACTACAAAGACTCCGAAACGGCGAACGAATGATCGTTAAACGAGATGATTTTAACCACCTAACGGCGATAGGCGAAACTGGACGAAGAATTCTAAAGTTACGAAGATTTTGTAACACGTATTACGCGAGTATAACTGTTTGAAAGGTCACGATAAAGCGAACCAATGAAAGATATAGAAAGAATACTCGGTTCCGCTGAAACAGCGTTAAACGGAGCAGCGTTCAGCGGAGTCTCGCCGTATAAGCGGACAGTTCATTCGAGAGCAATAAATTTTTAATAGATCGAAGGCGGGGGGGAGGCTATCTTTTCGAGTAAGAATTTCTCTGCAATAAAACCTAGTCGGGAAAAGCTGAAAGAGGTGAATGGGGTCCGAAGAAGCAGACGGAAGTGTTAACAGTCCCATAACCCTGAACGTGGCAATCGATTCGAAGCTTTCAACTTCCAACCGATACCGCCTGCTCCGAGTAGTTCCGAAGGCGACAAGGTCCCCGGTCGAAATCCCATCAAGACCGTCGATCGAGCCGGTTCTCAGAGGTTCACGGGACCAAGCCCCTTTGACCGGGAACACCGTGTATTCGGCGAGCACTGATGGACCCGGCCGGGCAATTTACAGTGCCGTAAAGTCGCGCTTACCTTCTGGAGAAGCGATTCAGCAGTTTCCCGAGGCTGCGGAAGTAACGGGGAGCGGTGACGTAAACGTAGACCAGCTGGTCCTCGTAGCCGTAAGCAGATCGATCCCGGTTGCGGCTGTGATTGTAGAGATCGGCAGTGGCAGCGCCTAGAGTGGCGTTCAGCAGCGTCCCCCACCTTATCTAACCCAGGAACGAAGCAAATCATTTTCCTCTTTGCCCGCCGAGGGCAAGATGGCGTCGCGGGCTCCCGCTAATCGCGGTTCGCATTAACGTCTACTCACATAACCGAAGCTCTCCTGGAGATAGGACATGTTGAAAGGGACGTAGACTCTTTGATCGACGTCCACCCAGTTGTAAAGGTCCTTGTGCTTCGGATAGATCTGTCACGTGAAAGCGGAAGCGTTATTGAATGGCCGGCATGACGCGAGGGGGATGACGATGTCTGCGGCAGCCTCCGACGGGCTGCGCGGGAACCAGGCCAGACGGGAGCAATTCAGAAAAATATATTCTCCGCACGGACGACTTGTTCGCGGCTATTTTCACTCTTGGCCTCGCTCCTACGCAGCCACTTCTCGTCGTTAGCTACTTGATCTACTTAGGAACCTCGTTCAACGATTGGACGACGGTTTCTTTGTGCTCGTAGCATTCAGGATTGATAAGATGTTCGAAACACGATTGAATAAGTTCCAAGTAGATTTATATTGATATCCGAGTTACGGGATTCTTGCGATGAGAAAATTAGTTTGCACTCGATCTCAATCTTTGGACGTTACTTCGGATATCTGTGAGTAATTACTACCACGGATTCATTCGATCTATCGTCACCTTGCTGAGGGACAAGCAAAATTGCAATAGCAGATCGGTCTCCGTGGTCCGATCCTTCGGGTCCATAGTCTTCGGTAGGAGGCCCTCGACGATCTTCCGTATCTTCCGCGACCTCTGCTCCTCCATCTTGTTCTGAAAGTAATAAACAGGTTCGTTAGGTGGTTCGATTAAAGGCTTCGCGACGGATAATGGAGTCGGTGATAAGGCTCGTCGAGGAGGGAGAAAAAGAAGGGGACGAACGCCGGCGGGGATCTAGCACGCTTCCCGTCCCAGCTGCGGAAAGAAAGTTCTGGCGAACGGCCAGCCGATCAACCGCAAGAAAGTACACATCACGGGGAAGTGACAACGAGGACGCCGCCTCTCGATCGATCGCGAAATCCTTGGTGCGAACGGCTGGAGCACAATTTGCACCGGGATCATCGGGAGAATTCAACTTGGCGGGTATATCCGTCATCTTGAAGCTCAAAGTGATACGTTATTCGACAATGATTAACCGATTTTTCCAAATGAACGTGTAACTGTTCCTCGTTTCCCTTCGTTTTGTTTCTCGATTTAATATCGAGCCGCATTCGCCCCGCGCTCGACGCGTCTACACGTCATTGCTTGATTTCATCACGCATCCCCACGAGGGATTTCTAAAACTAAATTCCACAGTTAACTGGTTAATGGGCGAGGATTCCATCGAGGATTACCCGAGCCGCGGCCGCGTGATTTCGAGTGAGCGAGAGATCGATGGAGAGAACGTTGCCGCGTCAAGTATCCGGAACAACGCCGCGAAAAACCGGCGGAATTGATTTAGCCCTTCAGCGATAAGGCAACTATCCGGCCATTCGTGATGGAGGACGCTTCCAAGACCTATCTTCGGCATACTTTCCCGCGAAACTTTTCCGCTCGAGGTGGAAGCTCCGCCAGCCCGGCCGCCGGGAATTTGCGGATGAACTTCTCGAAACGTTGCCTGTATGACTGCCGAGCGTGTTTTTTTATTCACCCCCCTTCGGACGGAAGTTTCGCGTTCCCCGGGGAACGGAAACAGAACTCGGTGAAATACAGCGCAGACTTGGAATAAAACATGGGATTTTGGTGCGTGGGTCTCGGGGGTTCTTCAACCCTTGCAGCGCCTACGTGGTTGCGAGGGACGCTGAAAATTTGTCGAAAAAGTGCCAACGTTCTCAGCATTTTTCATATTTTCCGTTGTTTTCTCTTGTACCTCAGATTATACATTACGATACAACGTTTTCTCAGTTTTATTCAATTCACAAATGTTACTCAAAGGGTGCCATACATAATTGGGTGCCAAATATAATTCATAAAGGGTCGCCTTACATAAATTTCGTTAATACTTCAGAGGTTCATGGATCTACATGCGGATCATCGATTCCTAGCGTAATTTTCTACGCGCTACGAGGATAGAGGTGGAAGCGTTCCGAGCGTGGAGATTATAAACACGGATAGAACGAGGGATTCTATGCGCTCGTACTGGTTATATTGTCCTCTTAATCCAGAATTCTAGCAGATTCTAGAGATAGCAGGTGGTATCAATTAACTGAAAAAGAAGATAAAGAGATAGTAAAAGATGGAGCCGCACAGAACGGCCGAATTAGCTCGTCTCCGCTCGATCAACAAGTTGAAGCTTAAAACAACAGAGACAAGAGCCTTTCATTACAGCGGTCCATCAAAAATTTCCATTCTGTTCGCGTCCAAGCAGCGACAGTCTCCTCCGGAGAGGCAACCCTCCTCTCAGCGATAGCACCGGTCACTCCTCCGGCAAGCCACGCATCGCAGCCACCGAGGAGACCGAGCGCGTCGGTCTCTCTGTCATCTGCGGTGGGCATCGATGGGCATTATTAACAGTCCGACAAATTAAAAGGAGCACTGGAGTCGATGGGCATCGTTATCGAAGTCGTTAGCGTAGCACAAAGCGGCGGATTCCATTTCCTCTTCTGTCGGCGTGTCATCGCGTGCGAGCCTCTCCCTCCCCCTCGTCCCTCTTCAATCACTCCTCCCGCTGTGGTTCCGACGACGTTCAATCGGGCGTTCTGCCCACTTTCCTCGTCGCCCCGCGAAAATAACGCGACCCAATTCCTCAAGTTTCCACGAGTCCCCCGGGCTTGATTGATTCCGCGGGTCGGACCCGATGGATCGAACGTCCCGTGCTCGAGTGTTCTCCAGCCCGCGATCCCATTCGTCCTCGCGCTTTCCCCCTTTCGGTAAATAAATGAAGTCGCGAGCGAACGAGAGGGACGCGAGGGAAAGGGAGAGCACGCGAGAGACAGGGAACACCCGGGTGGAGAAAGGACGAGCGAGCGAGAGAGCGAAAAGGAGGCGAGGCTCTTGGCCGCGTCCGGGCCGGAGTGGCCAGAATGGTATGGTAACTAAAGCAATATCCGCGAAGCTCGTGTTTTATTCGCAGGCAACGGCTGCCGAGCCGGAGCCGCGCGGCAGTCAAGAATCTCGCCGGAGAAGAGACGAAGGAGCCGCGGAAAAATTTCTCGCGAGAGCCAGCCGAACTCCCCGGTCCCGCCGGATCTCAATTAGGCGGAGGCTGAATGCTCGCGGACGGCGAGATCCGCCGGCGTTTCCGCGCGGAAAATTATCCAGGCCGAATTACAGAGGAACTCGTAACTCCCCGGCGGTGAATAATGACGGCGACAATGATGTCTTTATTGCGAGCGCCGCGTCGAGAAAATGGAAACAGGAAGCGATACTCCGGCTGCTGGGGAACTTTTATAGTTCGTGGACTTTCAGAGGGCAGCTACCGGGGCGAGGGGAAGATCACGGGAAGAGGGAAGACCGTGGACGGCGGTGCACAATTTAACAGAGGGTTATTTCCCGACAGCGCGCTGAATTACGTTCCTACTTTTAATCGCAGGTTCATCCGGCTCCGCGGCACGGGATAAGAGTATTAAAGGAATAAACCGTAATTATGTAGCGCGGAACGGGGAGCCGGCGGCGCGGGAAATGGACAAAATTGGTGGCAGAGCGCACTCTCGAACAATAGAGCACGGGAAGCGAGGCTACTCGAAAGCTCTCGATTCGGTCGATCGGCGGGACTGGACTATAAATCAGCAGGCTCCGCGGCTGTATTCTCGCGGGAGCGAATTAATGAGCTGGACTCGATTAGCCGGGCTTTTTGCAGAGCCGCTCGCTCGAGTGGCGGAAGGGTTTTGAAAGGAGCGGACCGGCCGCGGGAACTTTTCCGAAATGCCGAGCGGAGGCCGCGCTCAGGAGCCGCCGGAAATTTGCGTGGATCGATCGAGCAAAGGTATTGTGGCCCCGTTCGGACCATCCCCTAACTTCCGACGACAGGTGTCCTGGGTCAGCCGGCCTGGGAATCTTAAATCGATGGTGTATCACGGCCGAGACAATGTCCCCGACCGGAGATTCCGGCGGAACGCGACGCCGAGGTTCGATCGTGTCGCCGGAGAATTTTTCGGATTATACCGGGGCCACGATGGCTTTGGCCGAGATAGCAGAGCAAAGGGAAGCGCAGATTTCGGTCTCGTTGGAAGTGTAATAACTAGGAATGGGATGAAACGTGCAGACTCCCTCAAAAATTTAGTGGCCATCTGGAGTACGAGTATTACTTGCGAATCGCAGGAAAAGGGGAAAGTTACATTCCTCGTTCCATTATACCGCATCGTATTACACATTCTTAATGTTAAGAAACCTGAAAATTTCGCTGAATACAATTTCGACTCGATGCGATTAGCAAAATTCAATCCCGAGTGTCCGAAAGTTCTACACCGTACCGAAGTCGCGTAACGAAGCTTCTATCGGAATTGTCTCGCTACATCGAACTCGATTCGATTACGCGGAACAAGAAGCAGATCCTCCGCGACAGATACTCGCGAAACGACAAGAATCCCGACGTTATCGCGCATCGTCAGCCACATTTTTGCGCAGCTATCGATGCCGCGCACAAAAGAATCACTGTTCGCTTAACAAACGTGGCCCGCGGGGGAGAGCTAATTAATCGAGGGAATCCGATTACGGCCGGCGGACGACAGGACCTAGTTTATGCGAGGTGGAGGTTTTAGCGGTTTACGCGTATCCCGCGGTCGGTGCTGTGTCTGCGCCGATAAAAACAGAGAAACGGGAAGAAAAACGCGCACGTGAAGGTGCGTGTAAAATGCCGGCCGCGGCTTACGGGTTCCGCCGGGCGCACACGCGAGACTTATTAAATCCGCGGACGGTCAACCGTGTCCCGGACAAAGCGAGCCGCCTCCTCGTTTTTCAGAATTAAAGCGGACGAAGCGTGTTTGCGGGGGACGCGCCGAACGCCGTAATTAACCGGAGCTGTGTCGGGTCCGGCGTTCCTCCGAGGCAGCCACATCATTACGGCTCTCCATATCAAAAGTGTCGGGAATCGCGGGAGGCCCGTGACAGAAACGGGAGATCGCTTTTGCGAGAAGATTAGTTAACGGTGTAAGCGAGTGTCGCGTCCCTGAGCCCGGTTAACCAAGCCACTGACGGACCTACCGAAGTCGTTCATTTAAATTTCAATTCGATCTCCATGTCGGATCCTCCCTCGGGTTAGCGGGAGGAAGAAGATGAAGGGTTGAGGACAGCGGTGGGACCAATTTAGCGGCGCGGTCGTTAACCCCTGGCTAAGGTGTGGAAATTAATTCGGTGCCTTTCGGAATGGAATTTATTCAAGGTGCGCGGCACGGAAAGAGCAAAAGCCACGGGGAGACGGAAATAGACTCGGCGAATGTTCTATAGTAATCGAGAGTCAATATTAATACGCGCTAATGCCCGTGTGTGCCGACGCTAATGCAAATTTCAATTACAGCTGCGGTATTAAACGGGCGGTATGGAAGTAATATTGTAGTGGTATTAGCAAAATCGGTTTGAGTCGTCACGCGTACGAATTCGATACGATTACGGGACACTCGTGCGGATTTAGATTGAACGGAGGGCAGTTCACGTCGAGGAGGACGCGGAAAATGTAGAGCGATGCTTGTTCGCGGGAGATTTCACCTCCGAGATAATCGATTTCAACGGTAACAAACGATTCCGACGATGAGTCTCATTCCTGGAGCCGAAGCGAAGGGACGCAGGTGACGTTTGTAGTCGGCTGATGGTTCAACGGGCGTTTAACGGAATTTCGGCCGTTAATTAGAGTGCCGCCG